CGGGCAGAGAATTGACATCATCACTGCGACTGTCGCCAAGGACGAGGAAAGGCCGCATGCTGAACCAGCCGAAGAGGTCGAGGAGGTCCCCCTGGATGCCTCCCGGCCGGAGCGGGTTCTGAGAATTGGGAAGCAACTCCCACAGGACCAACGTGATTGCATCCTCCTAGTCCTAAGGTCGTATGCCATCATCTTTGCATGGGGCCCGGACGACAATTCAGGCATCAGCCGGAAGGTGATCACTCACCGGCTGTCATTCGATTCGGCCTCCACTCCTATCAAGTAGAAGCGGCATTACTTATCAGCCGACAGACGAGACTTCGTCAAGGGGGGGTCACCATGCTTCTCTCGATCAACCACATCAAGGAGGTGAAGTGCCCGACATGGCTAGCCAACGTCGTCCTTGCCAGAAGCCGCCAACGTTCAGAATGTGCGTTGATTACACTGACCTGAACAAGGCGTGCCCTATGGACCCGTTCCCTCTCCCCAATATAGATCAGTTGATGGACGAAACGGTGGGATGCAAGTTGATGTCGTTTCTCGACGCTTTCAGAGGGTACCACCAGATTTTTATGCATGAAGATGACGCCGAGAAGACGGCCTTTATGACCCCAGAGGGGATTTTCTGCTACCTCGTCATGTTCTTCGGGCTCAAAAATTCGGGCGCCACGTACACAAGGATGGTAGCCAAAATTTTTAGAACTGTCCTCGGCCGGACGATGGAGTCCTACGTTGATGACATGATCGTCAAGATCAAGCGGTCCGCCACACATGTTGATGACCTCCGGGAAATCTTTGAAATCATGAAGGAGTTCAACCTCCGTCTGAACCCCAAGAAGTGCGCCTTCGGCGTCCAAGGTGGCAAGTTTCTCGGCTACATGGTCAGCCGAAGGGGCATCGAAATAAACCCGGAGAAGATACAGGCCATTATCAACATGGAGCCACCCCGCAATGTCAAGGAGGTACAACGGCTGACGGGGCGCCTGGCAGCCCTGAGCCGCTTCCTCTCCAAATCAGCAGAAATATCATTGCCTTTCTTCCAGATCATGCGCAAAGCAAACAGCTTCAAGTGGACGATGGAGTGCCAGCAAGCATTCGAGGAGCTGAAGCAGTACCTATCATGTCCACCCGTGCTTTCCAAACCCAAGACCGGCGAAACCCTCTTCTTGTACTTGGGGGTGAGCACATCGGCCATCAGCGCCGTGCTCATCCGCGAGGACGAAGGGGTACAGAAAGCCATATTCTACATCAGCAAAACACTCAGGGAGGCCGAGCTCAGGTACTTCCCCATCTAGAAGACGGTACTAGCCATCGTCCACACAGTGAAGAAACTGGGACACTATTTCCAGGCACACGCCGTCCACATGTTAACACAGCAGCCCCTCGGCGCTCTCATGAGGAGCCCCACCAGCTCCTCAAGGATGGTAAAATGGGCGATCTTCCTCAGCCAGTTCCAAATTGAAATCAAGCCAAGGCCGTCTATCAAAGGGCAGGCCTTGGACGACTTCGTCACTGAATGCACAACAAGGGAGACGGCCGCTACTACCCACGGACCAGAGCCAGATGACGCATGGACCCTTTTCACTGACGGCTCGTCGGCTGCAAAGACATGCGGGGGCGTCGTCGTCCTCATTTCTCCTGAAGGATTTAGGGCCTACTATGCCATCCGCTTCAACTTCAGGGTATCCAAAAACGAGGCCGAGTATGAGGCCCTCCTCAGTGGCCTCAGACTCGCCACCGGCCTCAAAGCCAAACACCTCAAGATCAGATGCGACTCCAAGCTAGTGGTAGGCCAGAATGAGGGTTCATACGAAGCAAAGGAAGGAAGGATGAGGCAATACAGGCAGGCGGCCGACGAGTTGCTAAAGGCGTTTGAAACCCACGAGATCACACAGATCCCGAGGGCGGAGAACGCTGAGGCCGATATCCTCGCCAAACTCATCAGCTCAGATACTTCAGAACACATCTCCAAGATAGCTAAGATCGAGGAGCTGAGCATGTCCAACATTCATGCCAGCCCCATCTTATGCATCCAGTACCGGCTAGAGGACTGGATCTCCGACATTATGACCTTCATCACCACGGGGGAACTGCCCCAGGACGAGGAGAGAGCCAAACTTGCCAAACATAGGGCCCCAAGCTACACCATTGAAGACGGCAAACTCTACAAGAGATCATAGAATGGTACTCTCCTCCGATGCCTGCACCAGGATGAGGCTGAAACGGCCATGGAGGAGGTCCACTGCGGTGTTTCCTCCTCACATCAGGGCCCTTTCAGCATGTCCAGGCGTTTGGTCATCCAGGGCTATTTCTGGCCGACGATGGCGCGGGATTGCGCGGACCTCGCCAAGAAGTGTACCGCATGCCAGGTGCTTCAAAGGGTCCCTGGTCGGCCAGCCGTCAATTACGCCCCGGTCAGCACCGCGATACCATTCTCCACATGGGGGATTGACCTGGTCGGCCCCCTGCCCAGAGCCGCAGGAAACAACCGCCACATCATCGTCGCAGTCGACTATTTCACTAAGTGGGTCGAAGCGGAGCCTCTAGCCAGCATTACAGGGGCAAAATGTCGGAAGTTCGTCCATAAGAACATTCTCACCCGCTTCGGCGTCCCCCAGGAGATCATATCCGAAAATGGCACCTAGTTCAAAGCGACATCCTTCCAAGATCTCCTTCGAGAATGGGGAATAAAGCATCGTTTCTCCTCCGTTGCCTATCCTCAGGGCAACGGGCAGGTCAAGAACGCTAATAGAACCATAATGGAGGGGCTGAAGAAGAAGCTCCAAGACGCGGAAGGAAGTTGGGTCGACGAGCTCCCCAACATCCTATGGTGCTACCGAACCACGCCGAAGAGAGCGACAGGCAAAATACCTTTTGCCCTGAGCTATGGTTTTGAAGCCAAGGCACCCACGGATGTTGCCATTCCAAGCCGACGGGTTGAGCAGTACGAGCCTGAGCTCAACGAGGAAAACATGAAGATCGACCTCCACCTGGTCGAAGAAAGACGCGAGCAAGCATTCATCCGGGCAGAAAACTACCGGCGTCAAGTGAAATCTTACTATGACGCCAAGGTACGTTCCTGGGAATTCCAATAGGGAGACTACATCCTCCGCCGAAGGGAAGAAAGTCAGCCAACAGAAGGTGTCAAGCTAGCCTTGAAATATGAAGGTCCCTACATCGTCAGTGCCGTGGTGAAGCCCGACACCTACAAGCTTAAACGCCCAAATGGGTCCAATGTACCACGGACGTGGAATGTACACCATCTGGTGAAGTTTTATCAATAATCTGAAGGAGGTGCAGCCGGCAGAGCCCTCGCCCCTTAACGGATTATTAGTCGACTGACACCCCGGCCTCAAGCCACTTATGAATAAAAATTATGTTTCTCCTATTTTCTCGAGAATTCAAAGTAAAAAGCACCAGGTGCTGTAGCGGTTCCCTTAGAGCGAAAGGCTCAGGCGTGACCGACGCAGCACCTTGCACTAGCAACCTCAGAGCGAAAGGCTCAGGTATGCTCAAACATTGTATTTTGCATCAGCAAAAGGCTCAGGTCTAGCTGAGAGAGCACATCGTACTGGCCCTTTAGAGCGCGACGCTCAGGCAAGGCCGACGATGTCCCCAGGACGAGGGGCCCGCGAACGGCCCGCGTTTTGAAATGGGAAGCTCACCGTCCACGCGCCAGATCGCAGGACGACAGGTCTAAAATCATGACCGACGTGACAAAATCCCCAAACTTGGGGTAGGGAGACGGCAGCCGTTGGAAACCAACCAAAAGCTTAGCCCGCGTCATAAATGGGCGACGGGACCTCCCCGAGACTCGGGACGATCTAATACGACGTCTAAACCGGCCAAAGGACTATCGACCCCTTCAATCAAAGCCTGAAAAAAGGATACTCCCCGAAATAGGGAATCAATATCAAAAGAGGGAAAAGCCGAAGGACCGTGCACTTGCCGGCCTCGAGCGAAATCCCCAAGACAAAAGAGGGAAAGCCGACGGACCACGCACTTGCCGGCCTCGAGCTACAAAAAATAAAATCCCCAGAATTATCCAAGTACATATCAGGCGAACATTGTGTATTACCGTCAAAAGCGTTATACATATATAACACAATTTGCCTTAGTAATTTCGTCCATATATAAATATATATATATATATATATATATATATATATTTATATATGGACGAAATTACTAAGGCAAATTGCTGGGGCCGAAAAGGGACACCACATGGCCGACATCTGCAACCCAAAAAGGAGGTTGTCGTCCGCCACCCATAAAGGAAGCAATCACCCAAGTGTGTTCAAACACTTAGAAAAATTTCTAAACATTTGGAGAAATTCCATAGTAGCATCCAGAGCAGGCCGACGAGGACAAGGATCCGGGCTGCCCAACACTTGGAAGAACTTCCAAGTACTTGAAAGAGCTAAGGCCGACAAGGGCACTGAGGCCGAACAAAGGGCTAACAATCCCATCATCCCGTAAGGAGTGCACACTCCAAGCTCAAATTACAAAGACGAGGAAGACACCCCCCAGCCGAGGAAAAGACAGGAACTTTCATCGGCCACGACTACGGAGAACAAGATTGAGGGTTCTTGTTCGACACTTAAAACTGCAAATGAAACAAAAGGAATGAGGATTGACATGACGAAGAGTACACGATAGACGGAACTACAAGCTATCCACACTTGCCGTAGTGGCCGACGAAGGCCACAAACTAGAGCAACTACTTAGTTCAACACTTAGAAAATTTCCTAAATATTTTCTAAGTATTTTGGCTCACGAAGTCCACGTGAACAGAGGATAAGGGGGGGGGGGGGGGGTGTAACGCCAAGACGAAGCGAACACTCATACTTAAGCTACCCGCTTTGGCCGCAACCATAGAACAATCAAAGGCGACGATTACCCAACTCCCAACTTCACAATTGGACAAAATTTGTAACAAAAGCAAGAGAAAAGGCAAGACGAGGGCGTAGTAAAACATAAAAGCCAAAAAGAGAAGCATATTTTCATTCGCAAAGGCAGGGTACAAAGGGGGGCTTCATGGCCGTTACATTTTAAATAATTAAGCAAACATAGTGACAGATCATGACTCCCGCGGGGCCTCTGAGTTTCCTTCAACGCCGGCCTTTTCCTCGGTTTGAGTAGTTGTCCCATCGGCAACACCACCGGACGTAGCAGTGTCCTCAAAAATACTCGGCTCGTAAGTCCAATCATCACTGCCCTGTGAGCTATCGATGGGGAGTTGCCTTTCCGCGACAGGGAGCTCTAATTCGGCCTCAGGATGCCTCATCATCGGAGGCAAGTCCAGGCCGACGGCCCACTCCTTGGTAACACCCAGATCCAGGAATCGACGTTGAAGCCTCTGATAAAGCAACCGCTGCATCCTGTACTGACCAAGGTCGTAGAAGACCTTCATCTCCTTCTCCCAGTATGCTTGGCCGTCAGGGCAAATGTTTGACCCAGTCGAGGAGCTTCGCCGCCACGACGTCAAAACACCAAGGAAGCCGATCCTCGCCTTTCCAGCCAACCTCAAGGAACTTTTGCACAGCGGCTTCAGCGGCCCTCTCTTCAGCAGCACTCAGGGCCGACTCTGCCTCGGCCTTACCCTTCTCGGCCTCCTCGGCGCGACGAAGGGCTTCATCACGAGCTCGCTCCGCATCAGCCAAACGTTAAAGGGCCCCATCTTTCTCAACGGCCAGCAAATCAGCCTCATCCGCCCTTTTCTTCAGGCCCTCCACCTCGAGCCGCAGCCTCTCCAAACTGCCCAGAGCCTCATCGACCGAAGCCACCTTCTCCTCGATCTACTTCAGTCGAGCAATCTCCCTTTGTTGCCTTCTGTTGTTCTCCATCAACATAAAGGCACCCTGCAGGTAAATAGTGGTTAGACAACGTTGACACATACAATAAAAAAAGGGGGGAAGACAAAGCAGGCAGAGAAAACTTACTTGGACGATGTGGTCCATCCCACCGTCGTAGATTTTGACATTACCAAGCTTTTTCAGATAAGCCCGGTCCTCGTCGGGGATGGCCTGGGATATCACCTCATGACCATCAACAATCTCGTTGAACAAACCGCCCTTAACGGGGTATTCAACTTCAAGCTTATAGGTCCCCTTGGCCAACTCTCGGCCGGACCCTTTCTTCCAGGGGGCTGCGGCGGAAAGGGGAAGGTTGGAGACAGTGGTGGACGAAGGGCCCGAAGTGAGATCCACCAACGCGTCAGCGTTAGAGCCACCTTCGCCCCCAGAAGGAACAGTCAATGCCCCGGCATCATCACCAGCAGGAGAAGCCCTATTCGACTTCTTGGTAGGCTTCAAGTCTGCCTCTGTGAGCTTCTCCTGGCCCTCATCTGCCGACCGTTTCTTCTTCTTCTGGACGGGGGGCTTCGTCGCAGGGGCAGTAGCGGGCTGTCCCACATCGGCTGCCGACTTAACGGCCTGCTGAGTTTTCAGCTCTTCGGATGCCTTTAGCTGCGCCCTCTTCATAAAGGACATGCGATCCATAACAAAACCTGCACCGGAAAAATACAAAGGGTCAGCAAATAAGAGGATAAAACGACGGTGAGCAAGAGGGCGTCGAAAGGGCATTACCATCGGCCTCAGCTGGCACCCCCAGATCAGGACCATCGGCCTCCTCATAAGTCGTGGTCATCTTCGGCCACAGCTCTACATCATCTTTCTTATCAGCGTATACAAAATACCTCATGAAGCCGAGGGCGGCCATCTTGTACTCCGTGATGTACGTTTTCACGCTCCTCGGCCCTCCCTTCAAAAACGCCGCCACCTGTGCGTCCAAGATTGAGCTCTTCGGCAGAGCATGTAGGTTGAACCTCCCACTATGGCCGGCAGAAGGAAATTCGGTGCCTCCTTTTCCAAGTGACACGAAGACAAATTTATTCTTCCAGCCATGAATGGACGAAGGAAGATAAGTGAAGGATCTCCTTTTATGGATCTGTTGGAGGGTGGCATAGCAAGAACAGTTCTTGTGGCTTCCTCGACCTATTTCGTACAGGCTCATAAATAGCGCCGTCGTCGGCCTAAAGTCCAACTCAGCACAACGGAGGAGGAAGCCGACGATCAAGGAGTAGCTGTTCGGCGTCATCAGAGCTGGAGGAAGACCCACCATGTCCAGATACTCCGTAATAAAAGGATGAAGCGGGAACTGCAGTCCTTTCGTGAAGCTCATCGGGTAGACCCCAAAATACCCCGCCGGAGGGTTGAGTACGTGGTCCGTCGGCCTAGGCGCCCTAACCCTCCCAAACGGCCCCACATACATCTGAGCGACCAAGTACTCACCCGCGTTACTTTGCAGCCTGATGATGTAGATATTGGTGAGGTCTAAGTAGGAGAAGCCGGGGCCATTCTTCGGCCGACGCGTCCTCCTAACCGGTGCCTTCCCTTTCACAACTGACACCGGCTCCGGGCATGGAATGGTGGCCGAGGTAGACGCTCCGTCCACAGCATGGGAGATCCCGATGTCCTCGCCTTCAGATGACGATGCGGCCTCCTCGTCCTTGCCCTCCTCGTCCTCCTGCCCCCCAGATTCGAAGGAGCTCAGATCTTCGATCTCCTCGTAGAACTCTTCGACCAACCCATAATCAAGGGACTTTGCGGAGACCTCGTCGTCATAAGGGTAATACTCCTCGTTCAAAGATTTCATCGCAACAACTACTAAATCCCTACAAGGTTCTGTTGTGAATCTAAGTAGGGTTCACTGACTAACACTAAACCCACGGCCTAAAGACACTCAACGGCTTCACCAAGGAAAATCAATCTCACTTCAACGGATGCCTGACATCTAACACCTACATCGGCCACAACGGCCAACCATAATTTCAAAATACCAGGTCACCACAAACTGTACCCATATCGGCCCAAAGCAGAATACCAATAGCACGGCCTCTGCGACGGCCATAAAAGCAAAGCAAAAGCAACCCCACAGCCATCGGCCTTGTATAGAACCCCGATGATAATTTCTTGAAAGCGACCTGCGTCCAAGGGTTCTCCCACAGGGTTACCTTGGTCAGGAAATCGCCAAGGAATAGGACTCAGGGGAATACAAGGAACCCGCTTCGGCCTAGGGTTATCATCTACTCCTTCACCCCTCGCACACTCTTCGGCCTGAAGTAGTGGGGGACTGGGGGACTACACCGGCCTTTGCAAACCAGGACAAAATCAAACAAATCTAAAAATAAACTAAGTCCGCAACTACAACATCATATCATATATGCACCACAACGTTTATAACCTTATCATGCACCATCGGCCGCAGCGAAGTAAGTAGAAAGAATTCCCTCCAAAGATGCAACCCCCAAGATAACAGTGCACTCAACGGCTTTGAGACCGCATACCACACTCTTGGCCGGAAATTAAAACGGGAACTCATCGTCCTCAAAACATGGACACCAAGGTGCAAATACCATCACTCCTCAGCCAAAGGTACCGAATGAGAGCCACAGCGGCCAAATGAAGCAAATAGCACCCACACCGGCTATCCGGAGGAAGAAGGACACTCATCGGCCAGGAATAGACCACAATAGCCTCCCCGGCCATGGGTACAAAGTTCAATCATCAACGGCCAGGAATAGAGAAACATCGTCTTTATCGGCCACTCGCGCAAGAGAACGCTCATCATCTCCACCAGGTAAAGGCACTTGTCATCCTTGAAATCGGAAACCTGCGTCATCCGCACTACTAGGGCCCTCTTCGTCCACAACAGAGACCGCACAACGGCCAGAACGCGGAGTGCCCGTAACAACGTGAACAAAAAACCAGAGCAAGGGATGCTAATGACGGCCAAAACAGGGAAAACCCCATAAGTGGCCCCACGACGGCCAGAAAACGTCAAAGACAGGAAATCTACTCTCCCTCACTTCGTCTACATCTCAGCTTGGAGAGTGGGGGACTCCTGATGGAGTATATGGGCCAGGACCCCAATGCCCACATACTCAAGAGAACGGAATGTACCACGACCACCTGGTGGGACCCTCGTCGGCCAGATGACCCTCATCGGCCAGAAAGAAGTCTACTCAGAATGGGATCCAGAAGCCAGGAAGAGCCGGGTGACCTCGTCGGCCGGGTCTTCGTCGGCCACGCCCTCGTCGGCCGTGCCCTCATCGGCCACAGATGGCCTCCTGAATAAGGTCTTACACTTAATCTTTTCTATGTACTTTGTATCCGGCCCATTAGTGGCCCTATTGTAAATGGGCCTCCCAAGCCCAAGATTGGGAGCCCAGTCCTAATTTTCTCTATAAATACTCCCTCTGGGAGTAGTTGTAGGGGTTGATAAATTCATTAATACAGAACATCTATACTACTTCTCTCTCTAGCTCTCACTTCTCTCTAGATTTACTCTATCACCTTCACTTCAATTCTTTTTTTTAATTCTTAGTTTTTGAATGATTATCAATGTCCTTCACTTCAATTCTTTTTTTTTAATTCTTAGTTTTTGAATGATTATCAATTACTGGATGCACATTGACCAAAGTTATTGTACTTGAGTTTGATAAATAAAACATGTCTTGAAAACATGACATTATTGTGCCGATATCTCAAAACAATATTGTATAAGTCTAATTTATTAATGTAATACAAAAAAATACGATAGTATAAATATTGTTCCAATGTAAATATTTTTTAAGAATGTAATTGATATATTTTTCAAATATTTTTGGGATCATTTTAACACTTTTAAAAAACCTGCACAATATAACTTTAGGCTGCTCAGCCCATCCGAATTTGGATAAACCCTGCCCAACAATCAATTTTTAATCTCCCAACCCACAACCCAAATATCGTATTTATACGTCGTATTACATTAAATTAAATTAAATACCCGAATGCCAAACCCTAACTCATGGTATTTAAACGCTTTATCTGGAGAGTCACCATTTTTCGTACGCTCATGGTATTTAACATGCGGAGAGACATCGGTTAATAGGATGCTCTCCGCCTCTCTTCTTCTACATTCCATCGCCAAGTTCAATCTACCTACAATCCTTCGCCCTCAATCATCCAGCCTTATTCTTCGATCGTGTCTAAGTCCGGATTACTCAATTGACCCCAGGGTTGTTTATGTAGTTGGTCTGGTGGCAAGCTCGTTCTGATCTTGGGCAGGCGGCAAACCGAAGATGGGCGACCACGGTCCCGATAGAAGAGTCTTTGTAAATAATTGCATTTTGAACTCTTTGGATTTCCAATTTTCTGTCTCATCTTAATCTGATCATCTGCTTGGTGGTGGATGAACCGGAACCTCCAACTAGCTAGCTAGCAATATTGATTGATATACTTTGAACTCTATTTAAGTATTATGCATAAATCAAAATACATGACCTTCATATTTTTGTGAATGATGGTTTTGGGTTGCATGTCAGATGTGTTCGTTACTTGTTTGATATATAACATCCAGGTTGAAACGTTTTATTTTATTATTTTTTTGAAAAATTAGATATTTTGAAAATAATCTGGTCTTCTTTGAAAATTACAAACAAATTTGTTGAGAGTTTTTACCATAGTACGTAGTAAAACCGATTTTTTTAAAACCCCAACTTTTAAAATCTGTATCTATAATACTATTATGATTAGTTAATATATGTCGCCATGTGAAATATATATCAATGTTTATTTATATATATACTCAAAATATTACAAATATGGTCGGAAGAGTAATTATGCTTCGCATAAGTGATACATGCATACTCGTATTTCCTGAAAATGAGATATGGAGTATCTCCTATGTCACACATTCTACTGAATACTGGATTTTAAAAGCATAAACATTTTTCTTTTAATAAAATTATAAACTTTTTAAGCCTATAAAGGTAATTAACTCACACTCGATTTTATATAAATGGAATTATACTATTAAATCAAATTAATTTTGTAACTTTGTTCACAAAATCCATTTATAAATAATTTGTTTTCATTAACACCCACGCACATATACATATGTACTTTTTTCCAATATAAATACACATTCATATGCATATGAACTATTATATAAACTATTTCCAATATATATCTCCATATATATATATATATATATATATATATATATATATATATATATATATATATATATATATAATCACATCTATACATTATTTTTGGTATTTATTCCTGTAAAGTTGAGTAATAGTATGAATAATCATATAATTTGACAGTTTTCCAATATAGTATTTATAATCCGTTTTCAATTATATGTGTATATATACAAAAAATATATATACATATACAAAGTATAGTACAAATTCTGTAAGGATCAGATTCCGTCTCCGGCTCAGGTCTATCTACACACACTCTCACACACCGCTCTAGGGGAGGCTTTTGCACAACTCTAAGTTATTATCTCACCACTAAGTCTCTCTCTCAGTTCTCACACAAAGGGAAAGAGAAGAAGGAGAGCACTGCTCTCAGGAAGGTATCTATCGCAGGCTGCTCACTCAAAGGCAAGGGAGTGTTGACTTTAAAATAGGCTGCCACCCTATTGGGAAGTCACGGGCAAACATAAGGACAATCACGGGTATGGCAAAGGACACTCACGGGTAAGCCATGACAATAATAGGATGCAGCGGACAGAGTGGGGCTGACTCCAGGTAAGTCAACAGGTATATTATTGATCAGATAATATACCAAGGTAAAAGGTCCCAAAGTGGGAGTAAAACATGTTGGAAAAATGTGTTAAAAATTGCATTAAATGGTCATTTTGGAGCAATTATTTGAGTGGGGTCCACTTCCGATTTGGGTCGGGTCAAAGTGGTTTCGGATTGTCCTTGTTAAGGGCTACAATTCGATATGTGGTACACTCAAAACGGATAACGGGTGAATGAGAAATTGATTCTCGAATTACACTCGTTGAAATGGAAAAACTGGGAAAATGATGGGTTTCTAGTGTGTTTTATCCCACACCGAAAAACTCAAGGGATTTTCACCCCCTTATAAAGGGAAGCCTCTTTTAAGGAGTTAAGATTCCTAAAGGTAAAGGCTCTCTCTTACGCGCGGGGGGGGGGGGGGGGGGGTGCCGATCAAATCCCGAAACGGAGAAGAAAAACCGCGACTCTGGTGGAGGTATTCTGGTAGCATCAGAGTTGCTCCAACTCTGACGGAGGTATCCTGATCGCGCACCAGAACTGCTCCAAGCCGTTACAGCCATTAAATGCCCAACGTTCTTGTCTTTTAATGCAGCGTTAAATGGACAGTTTATGGATGATTCAATGCCCAACGGACTGGTCATTGATGTCCAACGTTCAGGTCCATTAACACCCCATTTAACACAAAACACACAATACATTCCTCACGTTTTCTTGAGCTAAAAACACTTCCAGCTACTCTGCAAATTCCTTCTGTGTTCATACTTGGTTCTCGTTCGCTGCAACTCTTGTTTGTGTGCTGAAACATTAGTTCGTAGTCATCGTATCCTGGGAAACGATTGTTGTAACGCTCCTAGCACTGTGGCAGGCAACAAATACGTTTTAAGGACATCGTGCGTAGCACAATCTTTGACTAATTCTGGTTCATCTCCTTTCTTGTTTTTCTCTAGTCATTTTATTTAATTAATTTATTTTAATTAATTTCCTTTATTTTCCGAAACACACCCAACAATCTTAAAACGTATTTGTTGATTGTTCTACTGTGGTAAACAATCTTAAATCGTAGTTTGTCACTTTGGTGAACGAACTTATTTTTTGTGTTTTCGAAAAATGTTAAGAAACGAAAATGACTTCTCAAAAAATTGAGATTGGTGTTGGGCAGAATGTTCTGAACGACAATCACTCTGAAAGCGGAGCACCGGTGAACAATTGTTCACAACGCGGTGCATCTGCTTTGGCCAACCAAAGGGCTATCCCTATGGTGACCGTGCCAAGCAACTCTGTGGAGAAACCCGAGAAATTCGATGGGTTAAACTTCAAGAGGTGGAAGCAAAAGATGCTCTTCTATCTCACTACTCTCGGTCTTGCGAGGTTCTTGACCGAGGATGCGCCGGTAGCAACCGGGAGTGAGGTGGATGCGCAATCTTTCAACGCGGTTGAGGCATGGAAGCATTCGGACTTCCTTTGCCGAAACTATGTGTTGAACGGGCTGCATGATGCTTTGTACGACGTATATAGCAAACTAGCTACGGCTAAGAAGCTATGGAATGCTTTGGACCACAAATATAAAAGCGAGGATGCCGGCGTAAAGAAATTTGTTGTTGGTCGATTCCTTGATTTTAAAATGGTGGATTCGAAGACGGTCTTGAGTCAAGTTGAGGAGATGCAAATGATCTTCAACGAAATTCGAGATGAAGGAATGACAGTTAGTGAGTCATTCCAAGTGGCGTCAATTATTCATTTATTACTGCCGGCTTGGAAGGATTTCAAGAACTACCTTAAGCACAAGCGAAAGGAAATGAACTTGGAGCAATTGATCCTCGTCTTCGGATTGAAGAGGATAACCGAAAGAACGATGGGAAACTCCCAATCGTTACCAGCGCCAAGGCCAACGTGGTGGAGCATGCTAAAGGCTCCAAAAATAAAAATAATGGGAAGAGCAAGCTCGATCCCAAGGGAGGCGTTTCCAAAACGAAGTTTAATGGAAAATGCTTCAATTGCAACAAGAATGGACACAAGTCCTCGGATTGGAAGGCACCAAGAAAGAAGAAAGACTCTCAAGTCAACTTGGTGCAAGGTGGGCAAAAGGATGACGACATCATCCTTGCGGCTGTGATGACCGAGGTCAACCTCGTTGGATCCAATTCCAAGGAGTGGTTCGTGGACACCGGTGCTACCCGGTATATTTGCTCAAACCGGGAGTTATTCACTACTTTTAAGCCATCAAATGGTGAGAAGGTGTGGATGGGAAACTCGGCTCATTCCGCGGTTGAAGGCGTGGGAAAAGTGGTCCTGAAGATGACTTCGGGCAAGGAGTTGACTCTCAACCAAGTGCTGTTCGTTCGGGATATACGCAAAAACCTGATTTCCGGCTCGTTGTTGAACAAGCATGGCTTCCGCATGGTCTTTGAGTCGGACAAACTAGTTTTGTCTAAGTCGGGAATGTATGTGGGCAAGGGGTATACATGTGATGGGCTGTTTAAGCTCAATGTAATGACTATTATTAATAATAATAATAATAAAATCCCTTCTGCTTACTTGCTTGAGTCTTCCAATATTTGGCATGGTAGACTAGGACATGTTAATTTTAATTCTATACGTAGATTAATTAACATGGAGCACATTCCTAAATTCACAATTGATGTGAAGCACATATGTGGAGTTTGTGTAGAGGCAAAACTAACGAAAACGTCTTTCAAATCAGTTGAAAGAAAAACGGAACCACTTGAATTAATTCATACTGACGTTTGTGATTTTAAATCAATAAAAACACGTGGCGGTAATAAATATTTTATTACTTTTATCGATGATAGCACTCGCTATAGCTACATTTATTTATTAAAAAATAAACACGAAGCAATCGATAAATTCATTCTTTATAAGAATGAAGTGGAAAACCATCTTAATCGACGGATTAAAGCGGTTAGAAGTGATCGAGGTGGTGAGTATGAAGCACCAATTGGTGACTTTTGCGCGAGCGTGGGTATAGTACATGAACGTACCACACCCTATTCACCTCAATCAAACGGTGTTGCCGAACGAAAGAATCGCACATTGAAAGATATGATGAATGCAATGCTAGTAAGTTCGGGCCTGCCACAAAATATGTGGGGCGAAGCAGTCTTGTCAAGCAATTACCTTTTAAATAAGGTTCCCCGGAAAAATATGATAAAACTCTGTACGAGTTGTGGAAAGGCAGACGGCCTTCCTATCAATATTTAAAAGTGTGGAGGTGTCTGGCAAAAGTGCTTGTCCCAACACCTAAGAAAATAAAAATAGGTCCAAAAACGGTGGATTGTATTTTTATTGGATATGCACAAAATAGTAGTGCCTATCGGTTTTTAGTGTACGATTCGAATAATCCGGATGTACATAAAAACACAATAATTGAATCAAGGAATGCTTCATTCTTTGAAGATGTATTTCCATGCAAGTCCAACGAAGGGCCTAGCACGTCAAAACGAACATTTGACATAGCTATGGAAAATACTAGCGAGGGATCCGAAGAAGAACCCGAACCCAGACGTAGCAAACATGCTAGATTTGAAAAATCCTTCGGACCAGATTTTCTCACCTACTTGGTAGAATTTGACTCGGATATTCTAACATGTATGGTAGAAAATGAACCGGATTTTCTAACATGTTTGGTAGAAAATGAGCCACGGACTTATACAGAAGCCATGAAGTCTACCGAAGGTCCTATGTGGAAAGAAACCATCAAAAGTGAGGTGGATTCTATCCTTAAAAATCACACATGGGAATTGGTTGATCTTCCTCCGGGAAATAAACCTTTGGGATCCAAGTGGATTTTTAAACGGAAAATGAAATCGGACGGTTCCATTGATAAGTATAAGGCCAGGCTTGTAATCAAAGGATACAAGCAACGTGAGGGCCATGATTACTTTGACATGTATTCTCATGTGACGAGAATAAATTCCATTAGGATGATACTAGCAATTGCCGCATTGCGGAAATCGGAAGTTTATCAAAAGGACGTAAAAACCGCTTTTCTAAATGGCGATATAGACGAAGAAATCTATATGGAACAGCCCGAAGGCTTTCGTGTTCCAGGCCAAGAAAGGAAAGTGTGTAAATTAATTAAATCATTGTATGGATTGAAACAAGCCCCGAAACAGTGGCACGAAAAGTTCGACCATGCAATGTTAATTAATGGGTTTAAAATAAACGAAAGTGACAAATGCGTCTATGTGAAGAGCACGGTAGATGGCTATGTCATTTTGTGTTTATAGGTGGATGATATACTCATCATGGGTAGCAATAATCTAATGATTAATTCTACCAAAAGCATGTTAAATTCTTAGTTTGACATGAAGGATATGGGGCTGAC